CACGCTCACCGCACCCCAAGCTCACCGCACCCCACACTCACCGCACCCCAAGCTCAACGCACCACACGCTCACCGCACCCCATGCTCATCGCACTCCACGCTCACCGCACCCCACACTCACCGCTCCCCAAGCTCAACGCACCAAACGCTCACCGCACCAAACGCTCACCACACCCCATGCTCACCGCACCCCACGCTCATCGCACTCCACCCTCACCGCACCCCACACTCACCGCACCCCAAGCTCAACGCACCAAACGCTCACCGCACCAAACGCTCACCACACCCCACGCTCACCGCACCCCCACGCTCACTGCACCCCATTCTCACCGCACCAAACGCTCACCGCACCCCCATGCTCACCGCACCCCAAGCTCAACGCACCAAACGCTCACAGCACCAAACGCTCACCGCACCCCATGCTCACCGCATCCCACTCTCACCGCACCCCACGCTCACCGCACCCCAAGCTCACCGCATCCCACGCTCACCGCACCCCAAGCTCACCGCACCCCAAGCTCACCGCACCCCAAGCTCACCGCACCCCCCGCTCACCGCACCCCAAGCTCACCGCACCCCAAGCTCAACGGTCCCCATGCTCACCACACTCCATGCTCACCGCACCCCACACTCACCGCACCCCGCCGCTCACCGCACCAAACGCTCACCGCACCCCACGCTCACCGCACCCCAAGCTCACCGCACCCCAAGCTCACCGCACCCCAAGCTCACCGCACCCCCCGCTCACCGCACCCCAAGCTCACCGCACCCCAAGCTAACCACACCCCCCGCTCACCGCACCCCAAGCTCACCGCACCCCACGCTTACCGCACCCCATGCTCACCGCACCCCAAGCTCACAGCACCCCAAGCTTACCGCACTCCCCGCTCACCGCACCCCCCGCTCACCGCACCCCACGCTCACCGCACCCCAAGCTCACCGCACCCCACACTCACCGCACCCCAAGCTCAACGCACCACACGCTCACCGCACCCCAAGCTCACCGCACCCCAAGCTCAACGGACCCCATGCTCACCACACTCCATGCTCACCGCACCCCACACTCACCGCACCCCGCCGCTCACCGCACCAAACGCTCACCGCACCCCACGCTCACCGCACCCCAAGCTCACCGCACCCCAAGCTCACCGCACCCCAAGCTCACCGCATCCCAAGCTCACCGCACCCCCCGCTCACCGCACCCCAAGCTCACCGCACCCCAAGCTAACCACATCCCCCGCTCACCGCACCCCAAGCTCACCGCACCCCACGCTCACCGCACCCCACGCTCACCGCACCCCAAGCTCACAGCACCCCAAGCTCACCGCACTCCCCGCTCACCGCACCCCCCGCTCACCGCACCCCACGCTCACCGCACCCCAAGCTCACCGCACCCCACACTCACCGCACCCCAAGCTCAACGCACCACACGCTCACCGCACCCCATGCTCATCGCACTCCACGCTCACCGCACCCCACACTCACCGCTCCCCAAGCTCAACGCACCAAACGCTCACCGCACCAAACGCTCACCACACCCCATGCTCACCGCACCCCACGCTCATCGCACTCCACGCTCACCGCACCCCACACTCACCGCACCCCAAGCTCAACGCACCAAACGCTCACCGCACCAAACGCTTACCACACCCCACGCTCACCGCACCCCCACGCTCACTGCACCCCATTCTCACCGCACCAAACGCTCACCTCACCCCCATGCTCACCGCACCCCAAGCTCAACGCACCAAACGCTCACAGCACCAAACGCTCACCGCACCCCATGCTCACCGCATCCCACTCTCACCGCACCCCACGCTCACCGCACCCCAAGCTCACCGCACCCCACGCTCACCGCACCCCAAGCTCACCGCACCCCAAGCTCACCGCACCCCAAGCTCACCGCACCCCCCGCTCACCGCACCCCAAGCTCACCGCACCCCAAGCTCAACGGACCCCATGCTCACCACACTCCATGCTCACCGCACCCCACACTCACCGCACCCCGCCGCTCACCGCACCAAACGCTCACCGCACCCCACGCTCACCGCACCCCAAGCTCACCGCACCCCAAGCTCACCGCACCCCAAGCTCACCGCACCCCCCGCTCACCGCACCCCAAGCTCACCGCACCCAAGCTAACCACACCCCCCGCTCACCGCACCCCAAGCTCACCGCACCCCACGCTCACCGCACCCCACGCTCACCGCACCCCAAGCTCACAGCACCCCAAGCTCACCGCACCCTACGCTCACCGCACCCCAAGCTCACCGCACCCCAAGCTCACAGCACCCCAAGTTCACCGCACTCCCCGCTCACCGCACCCCCCGCTCACCGCACCCCACGCTCACCGCACCCCAAGCTCACCGCACCCCACACTCACCGCACCCCAAGCTTAACGCACCACACGCTCACCGCACCCCATGCTCATCACACTCCACGCTCACCGCACCCCACACTCACCGCTCCCCAAGCTCAACGCACCAAACGCTCACCGCACCAAACGCTCACCACACCCCACACTCACCGCACCCCAAGCTCAACGCACCAAACGCTCACCGCACCAAACGCTCACCACACCCCACGCTCACCGCACCCCCACGCTCACTGCACCCCATTCTCACCGCACCAAACGCTCACCGCACCCCCATGCTCACCGCACCCCAAGCTCAACGCACCAAACGCTCACAGCACCAAACGCTCACCGCACCCCATGCTCACCGCATCCCACTCTCACCGCACCCCACGCTCACCGCACCCCAAGCTCACCGCACCCCACGCTCACCGCACCCCAAGCTCACCGCACCCCAAGCTCACCGCACCCCAAGCTCACCGCACCCCCCGCTCACCGCACCCCAAGCTCACCGCACCCCAAGCTCACCGCACCTTCCGCTCACCGCACCCCAAGCTCACCGCACCCCAAGCTCACCGCACCCCCCGCTCACCGCACCCCAAGCTCACAGCACCCCAAGCTCACCGCACCCTACGCTCACCGCACCCCAAGCTCACCGCACCCCAAGCTCACAGCACCCCAAGCTCACCGCACCCCCCGCTCACCGCACCCCCCGCTCACCACACCCCACGCTCACCGCACCCCAAGCTCACCGCACCCCAAGCTCACCGCACCCCACTCTCACCGCATCCCACTCTCACCGCACCCCACTCTCACCGCACCCCACGCTCACCGCACCCCGCCGCTCACCGAACCAAACGCTCGCCGCACCCCACGCTCACCGCACCCCAAGCTCAACGCACCAAACGCTCACGGCACCAAACGCTCACCGCACTCCACGCTCACCGCACCCCCACACTCACCGCACCCCACGCTCACCGCACCCCACGCTCACCGCACCCCACGCTCACCGCACCCCATGCTCACCGCACTCCATGCTCCCCGCACCCCACGCTCACCGCACCAAACGCTCACCGCACCCCACGCTCACCGCACCCCCCGCTCACCGCACCCCAAGCTCAACACACCAAACGCTCACCGCACCAAATTCTCACCGCACCCCACGCTCACCGCATCCCACTCTCACCGCACCCCACGCTCACCGCACCCCCCGCTCACCGCACCCCAAGCTCAACGGACCCCATGCTCACCACACTCCATGCTCACCGCACCCCACACTCACCGCACCCCGCCGCTCACCGCACCAAACGCTCACCGCACCCCACGCTCACCGCACCCCCCATTCACCGCACTAAACGCTCACCGCACCCCCACGCTCACCGCACCCCACTCTCACCGCGCCCCACACTCACCGCACTCTACGCTCACCGCACCCCATGCTCACCACACCCCACGCTCACCGCACCCCACACTCACCGCACCCCACACTCACCGCACCCCAAGCTCAACGCACCAAACGCTCACCACACCCCATGCTCACCGCACCCCATGCTCATCGCACTCCACGCTCACCGAACCCCACACTCACCGCACCACATTCTCACCATACCCCATGCTCACCGCACCCCAAGCTCAACGCACCAAACGCTCACCGCACCAAATGCTCACCGCACTCCATGCTCACCGCATCCCACTCTCACCGCACCCCATGCACACCGCACCCCCCGCTCACCGCACCCCAAGCTCACCGCACCCCCCGCTCACCGCACCCCAAGCTCACCGCACCCCACGCTCACCGCACCCCGCCGCCCACTGAACCAAACGCTCACCGCACCCCACGCTCACCGCACCCCCCGCTCACCGCACCCCACGCTCACCGCACCCCCCGCTCACCGCACCCCAAGCTCACCGCACCCCAAGCTCACCGCACCCCACGCTCACCGCACCCCCCGCTCACCGCACCCCAAGCTCACCGCACCCCACGCTCACCGCACCCCCCGCTCACCGCACCCCGCCGCTCACCGAACCAAACGCTCACCGCACCCCAAGCTCACCGCACCCCCACGCTCACCGCACTCTATTCTCACCGCACCCCACGCACACCGCACCCCACGCTCACCGCACCCCACGCTCACCGCACCCCAAGCTCACCGCACCCCACGCTCACCGCACCCCAAGCTCACCGCCCAAAACGCTCACCGCACCCCACGCTCACCGCACCCCCCATTCACCGCACTAAACGCTCACCGCACCCCCACGCTCACCGCACCCCACTCTCACCGCGCCCCACACTCACCGCACTCTACGCTCACCGCACCCCATGCTCACCACACCCCACGCTCACCGCACCCCACACTCACCGCACCCCACACTCACCGCACCCCAAGCTCAACGCACCAAACGCTCACCACACCCCATGCTCACCGCACCCCATGCTCATCGCACTCCACGCTCACCGAACCCCACACTCACCGCACCACATTCTCACCATACCCCACGCTCACCGCACCCCACGCTCACCGCACCCCACGCTCACCGCACTTAACGCACACCGCACCCCCCGCTCACCGCACCCCACGCACACCGCACCCCACGCTTACAAAACTCGGTTATACACAAGGCCTTGAATTGACATTTTCTCTTTCAGCTGGAGAAGCTGATTGACAGTTTGGAGTGCAGGATGATTCAAGAGACACACAGGAACGTCAGCGCAGAGCTTGCGCTGGCTGTGTCCGAGAGGGCACGGGAGGAGGCTGCACTCCCTACAGGTACACTCCCGCCTCACTGGTACATTAACCACAACTCTCCAACACTCTCAGAGCCCGTACTCACGGTGCCCGTGTCATGCTTCCCGTCTGCTCTGCGCTCGAGGAGACCTGTGGAGGCACCCCCTGATGAGTGAAAACCTCACCAATGAGCGGCCTGCCATCGTGGAGGACTTTGTCTATCATCTCCTGGAGCACGCACAGCTCTCGGAGACTGAAGTGAGAGCTCCACAGCCCCTAACTCCGAGCACACGTTAGTGTAGTGTGTGTGTCCGTGTCGTGTGTGTCTCCATGTCGTGTGTGTGTGTCTGTTAGTGTGTCTATGTCGTGTGTGTGCTGCTCATGGGGAGCGGTAGTGCAGCGGTTAGTGCAGTGCGCTATGAACGTGGCGACCCGAGTTCGGTTCCTGCTCATGGCTGACATCTATGATGAATTTCTGAACCAATCCTGGGCCTCCCCGAAGTTAACTTGGCCTCAAATGAGCACCTGGTGCGGTGTGTAAACATCGGCACTAGGGAGACAAAGGTGGCCAGGCGTGGTGCTGGCTTCCCACCTCCTCGTGTCCTGTTCTGGCCTAAATGGGTGCTCACTCACAGCACTTGCCAAAAAGCTCTGTTAAAGGCTATACAGGGGATCTTTGTCTTTGCTTGTTAGTGTAAGTGATGCATGTAATTGTATTATTTATCTGTGTGTGTACTGTGAGTAATAATAATAATAATTTGTGTTTGATATGGCACCCAATACGCTGGGGCACAAAGTGACTCAGCACCTGGGCCTGCCGGCAGGCATTCGTCTGCCACTAGGGGGGTGATGATTGCTGTTGTGCATAATCCCAGTCGCACCATCTCAATTGACAACCAATGGCATATTTGTCTCTGTGTATGGGTCGCCAACGGCGTACCCCGCGTGTCATGGAAAGCGGTTCAAAATCGGGTTACCCATCGCTGGGTGGTCAACTGTCAACTGGGGTGGAGCGAAGCGTTCCACTCGCGCCGTTGGCTGACCGCCGACCGCGCATGATTCGATGAAAACCCAAGGCGAGTCACCGATCGACAGGGAAGTCGGAGCTGAGGAAAGCTCGTGGACAGCTTGAACCGCTGGAGACAAGGGCGTTGGGGGGGGGGGGGCGAGTGGTAAAGAGTGGGGGTGGTGATAAGGAAGGTTTGAAAAACAAGTCGGGAAGAGGGCGTTTGAGGTGTTTCTAGGGAATCCCTCCCAACCTATGTATGACCGAGTTTTACTGGAATTTGAGTAAACAAGCGCCCTTCCATCTGCGTGCAGTGCGGTGTGTTCATGTGGTGTGTTGGTGCATCGGTGCATTGCGTTGGTGTGGTTGCTGAAGGCATACCCTCCGTGTGGCCACAGGTGCGGCTGGACAAAGCGCACCTCTCCCGTGGCCTGGCGACGCTCGCCTCGCACGTCATGCAGAGGGAGCGGAGCAACTTCCAGGCCTTCTCAATGTTCTATGAGCACCTGCTGCGCCACCAGCAGCGCTTGCTGCAGCAGCGCGAGCAGGCACGTGCCCCCCGCCTCCCCCACAACCACCTTGCTTTGCCTTGTGCAGTGTTGGTGGCGCCAAGGTCACTCACGCGACCGAGACTCCATTATTTGTTCTCTTGAGTTCTCCCCCCTCGCACGTGTGCGCTGGGTGAGGCTGTGCCCACACCGTGCGGATCTTGGGGATTACTGACCGTACTTCATAGCGCCGGTCGATGCTGGGTTTGGTGGAGACGGGCTGCGTAGACTTTCGAGCGTGGCAGAGTACAGCCGTGGGATTTTGCCGCTCGTTCCCGGTAGCTCCTATAGCAGTCCGTGCGCTGGTCACCTCTGCGGCGTTGAGAATCAAGAGCAAAGCTGGCAGTGCACCCTGCAGATTGCGATTAAAAACAACTTTTATTTTACCAGTTCAAGGCCCACTGAGCTTCAGAAGCAACCTAGCTATCACAAATGATAGATCGAAGAAGTGGCTTATCACGTGGAAATTCATATCAGCCAAATACTATAATCGCATGTTTCTAAATGTGGAGGGAAAAATCAGAGGACCCGGAGAAAATACGCGCGACCACGGGGAGAGAGACGCATGAACTCCAAATATACAGCAGGCGTCAGGATCGGGATCGAACCCATGACCTGTATACCAGGCGAGGTAGTTAACACCTCGCCACAATGGGTCATACTCCGGTTCACTGGTGCGGCGATCTCCGTCTTCTGCAGGAAGTCGCCGCTTTGCAGGAGGCGGCCCGACCCATGGAGCAGCTCGACGTGCAGGTGGGACAGAAACCGCAGCCGTTGTCTCTCGGCGCTCGCACCCACACGGCCGTGACTGGGGACTTGCCGCGGTGGATAGGAGATGTTAAAGCACCTGGTCTGGTATTCAGGAGGTAGTGGGTTCGATCCCGACCCTGACGCCTGCTATATATTTCGAGTTTGCGTGTCTCTTTCCCCCCATGGTTGTGTGGACCTTGGTTTAGGTGTGCTATGTTTTTGTATTTTTTTTGCTGTTGTCTTGTACAGCATTGTCAGATGCAGTTTTGCATGAACGACGTGATGTAAACTTTGATTATAATTATTATTATTATCCGTGCTCACGTTGTACGAATTGATTTGCATTGGGGTCTGGTAGCAGTATTGTGTTGAGCTTTATTCCAGTGAACGCCACCGTTCTGCTCATAGACCTAATGCTGACCGAGAAATGTGTCCAGTTTGGTTGCACAGCGGTAAAGGTGGCAGCCCAAGTTGCATTCTCACACACACGTGGTGATTTTTTACTTCCATTGAAGCTTTTGTTTGACACTTCACGAGCCCGTTACAGCCAGTCACATAATCTGTTCGGAGTGTCTCCCGTCGCACAGAACTCACCTGACATGACGAGTCTGTGCAACAGAGATGGGGGTGAGGGAGTGGGGACTCGTTTCCCCAGAAGGTGGGGCTGTTAATACGGTGGGGTAACACGCGGTGAATTTACCATCCAAGAGATCTAGTTTCAAGTGTAAACTTTTCTCCTCGAGGTGTTGACCTGCACATGTGATGCCCACGTGTGCTCTCTGCGTGTGCTCTCTGCGTGTGCTGCCCACGTGTGTTGCCCGGGTGTACTGCACACGTGTGTACTGCACACGTGTGTTGCCCGTGTGTGTTGCCCGTGTGTACTGCACACGTGTGTTGCCCGTGTGTGCTGCCCGCGTGTGATGCCCGTGTTTGATGCCCACGTGTTCTCCCTGCGTGTGCTTTTCGCGGCAGCACGAGCTCGGCGAAGGGACGCTGCGGCTGCTCGTCGAGGTGACATCTCTGCGCTCGCAGCTCGCGGAGGCGCGCGGCTCTGAGGAGCGAGCACGGCAGCGGGCGCGCGACGAGGAGCGCGCCGAGTACGACGCGCTCATACGCAGCCTCTGCTCCGACCTCTTCGCCGTCATGGTGAGATGACGTCGTAATAGTCGTCTTAGTCGCAGGGCTCCGCGTTGTCCGGTGGCGTTCCTGTGGATGCGAATGTCGCTTCCTGGTTTCCGTAAACACCGGCGTTCCTTCAACTCCTTCCTTCAATGCGTTCATTCAACTCGTTCCTTCAACTCCTTCCTTCAACTCGTTCCTTCAACTCGTTCCTTCAACTCAATCCATCAACATAAGCCAGCCCACCACCCCCCCCACCCCACACCCTTGCCGAACCGCACAACGTTCACTCGTGGTGGAGATGTGGCCGGTAAACGTCGGTCTGCCACGCCGGCGCTTCTCACTGCACCAGACACGTTTTGACTGCTGATGCTGACCGTTGTGTGTGTGTCGGTGCAGACTGCCGGGAAGGGCATTGAGTGAGAGAGTGAGCGTAGCGGTATGGGACGAGGGAGCGTGTCCGCAGCAGGGCATTGGGATGGGGTGCGTGTCTGTGCAGCAGGGCGTTTGGGATGGGGGGGGGGGCGTGTCGATGCAGCAGGGCGTTGGGATGGGGTGCGTGTCGATGCAGCAGGGCGTTGGGATGGGGTGCGTGTCTGTGCAGCAGGGCGTTTGGGATGGGGGGGGGCGTGTCGATGCAGCAGGGCGTTGGGATGGGGTGCGTGTCGATGCAGCAGGGCGTTGGGATGGGGTGCGTGTCTGTGCAGCAGGGCGTTTGGGATGGGGGGGGGGCGTGTCGATGCAGCAGGGCGTGTCGATGCAGCAGGGCGTTGGGATGGGGTGCGTGTCTGTGCAGCAGGGCGTTTGGGATGGGGGGGGGGCGTGTCGATGCAGCAGGGCGTTGGGATGGGGTGCGTGTCTGTGCAGCAGGGCGTTTGGGATGGGGGGGGGGGCGTGTCGATGCAGCAGGGCGTTGGGATGGGGTGCGTGTCTGTGCAGCAGGGCGTTTGGGATGGGGGGGGGCGTGTCGATGCAGCAGGGCGTTGGGATGGGGTGCGTGCTTGGACAGCATGGCATTGGGATAAGACCAGGGAGTGTGTCTGTGTCGCAGGGTGTTGGGATGGGACGAGGGTGTGTGTTTGTGCCGCAGGGCGCGCTGGACGAGTTCAGGACAGAGCTGCACCGGGAGGCACTCGACTCGGTCGCGCTCGTGCGCAGGGAGGGGGTCGAGAGTATCCGGCTCCTCCGCAGGAAGAGCGGAGTGAACAGGGAGGACTGTTCCCTGCAGAGGAACCTGATCAAGGTGAGGAGGCTCCATCCAGCTGGCGCGTGGCCCAGGGGAGGCTCGCTTTTCCGTTGTCACGGTTGTTTCTCTTGAGTCGCTAGTGGCCGACGAAGTATGAGGATCATTTGACGTAAATTTTGTCTTGATTTCTTACAAAGCTAAAATTGAGAATTGCGTTGGAGCTGTTAAACGAATGCTCGTATGGTGTTCTTTGTTCGGCGTTTCATATTTCGATCCAATCCCACGATCTTTGTGACTGCGAAACTTTTAATTTGTTTTTGTTTCCCATTTATATTTTTATTGTTCATCGGAGTACTTTGTTTTCTTTTGGCTATTTCAGTGACTCCAGTCACTCTTGAAAATGTGACGACTCTATTTTCGCTCTCTTGAATTCCCACTTCGGTGGCAGAAAGCGAACTTTGAACCTTGAAACTCTCCCACAGATACCGCTGAGAGGTAGCAGTGCTCATGGTGTGTGTCCAGCCGGGGGCTCCCTTGCGCAGCCGCTACTGACACCGTGCAGACAACAGAAGTTGTCGCTCTGTGATAAACACTGCAGGGTTTTTTTAATGTATTTAGTTTTTCATCCCCCCCCCCCGCCTCCCCAGCAGTGGGGTAACTGAGCAGCGCGTTGTGAGTGATCACTCTGAGCGCGTTCGTTCCGAGCGCGTTCGCCCCAAGTGCGATTGCCCCGAGCGCGTTCACACTCCGAGATCCCCCGTAGCAGGCGCAACAGCTGATACTATGTGCAACCCTCCTCCACTTCTCACTTACCCCCCCCCCCTCCAGTTTAAAAAAATAAAAAAACAGACGTCAATGCGTATAGTTGTTTGCATCTGTCCAAGACTCGAGATGAAGGGCCACTGTGTTATGCCGAAGCGTGTGGGGGAGATGAACGTAGCTCTAGACAATTGATCTGATTAATGTCACGTCCTTGTGAACACTGGAGGTAACTGTACGAGTGCTGTAAGCATTTGTGGGATACAAAAAAAATACATTGAAATTTTAAAGCTAAGCGTATCCATTTCGCAAGTAGATAATATGTATATTGATGTATAATCTGCGTTTCTTTATGTGACTGTGTGTAGTTGAAATGAAAACCGGTGGCGCAGTGGGTAGCGCGCTGCGCTAAGAACCTGGTGACCTGAGTTCGATTTCCACTCGTGGCCAACACCAGTGACGAATATCTGAACCAGTCGTGGGACTCCTCTAGGTCGCCACATTGGTGATATGTTAACTACCTCACCTGGTATACAGGAGGTCGTGGGTTCGATCCCGACCCTGGCGCCTGTATATTTGGAGTTTGAGTGTCTCTCTCCACGTAGTTGCGTGGCTTTTTCTCCCGGGTTCTCCCTCCACATTTAGAAACATGCATTTAGAGTATTTGGCTGCTGTAAATTTCCGCATGATAAGCCACTACGTTGAGCCAGGTCGCTTATGAAAAAGAGATATTTTTAGCTCAGTGGGCCTCACCTGGTAAAATACTAAATTTAATAATAGGGTTTTCCCCTTTTTTCTGGCAACAAAACTGAAACCTTTTTACAAGGAATCACGTGCGCATTAACCACAATACTTGTGGTCAAAATGCAAATAAAAAACACACACTCTGATAATATATGCATTGTCCTTGAAACTGATTGACCCACACCAGAGACAGCTTTCCTTTGAGCCTCGTCTCAATTGGTGCTAGACCAGAGGACGCCAAAAGGCATACAGCTCAAAGACAATGCACTATCAAAGTAATGAGGGCTAGTGGTAAGCATCTACATCATTAGACCTCCTTTCCCAGTACCAAAATATAATAATAGGGGTTTTCCCCTTTTTTCTGGCAAAAAAACTGAAACGTTTTTACGAGGAAACATGTGTGCATTAACCACAATACTTGTGGTCAAAATGCAAACAAACAATACACTCGACACAGCCAACGAGAAAGGGTTGCATGTAAACAGAACATGCCAATTCATCACGAGTACAGCACACCGGTGTGTTGGAGAGCCAAGCCACAACATTTACAATCTGAGTACAACGTTTCGCCAGTAATTACAACTAGCTTCATCAGGCGGCAGCCAGATTTGTGGAGAAGTCCATCTGTTTCGTTCCTTATATAGAGGCGTAGATGTGGTGACCACACTTCTGCGCTCTTGTGGGGGGGGAGGGTTTCATGAGCCAACATACATTATGCATGTGCATTATTCGAGCCCTTTGATTTTGTCTTTCCTGTCCATTGTATATTGATGTATAATCTGCGTTTCTTTATGTGACTGTGTGTAGTTGAAATGAAAACCGGTGGCGCAGTGGGTAGCGCGCTGCGCTAAGAACCTGGTGACCTGAGTTCGATTTCCACTCGTGGCCAACACCAGTGACGAATATCTGAACCAGTCGTGGGACTCCTCTAGGTCGCCACATTGGTGATATGTTAACTACCTCACCTGGTATACAGGAGGTCGTGGGTTCGATCCCGACCCTGGCGCCTGTATATTTGGAGTTTGAGTGTCTCTCTCCACGTAGTTGCGTGGCTTTTTCTCCCGGGTTCTCCCTCCACATTTAGAAACATGCATTTAGAGTATTTGGCTGCTGTAAATTTCCGCATGATAAGCCACTACGTTGAGCCAGGTCGCTTATGAAAAAGAGATATTTTTAGCTCAGTGGGCCTCACCTGGTAAAATACTAAATTTAATAATAGGGTTTTCCCCTTTTTTCTGGCAACAAAACTGAAACCTTTTTACAAGGAATCACGTGCGCATTAACCACAATACTTGTGGTCAAAATGCAAATAAAAAACACACACTCTGATAATATATGCATTGTCCTTGAAACTGATTGACCCACACCAGAGACAGCTTTCCTTTGAGCCTCGTCTCAATTGGTGCTAGACCAGAGGACGCCAAAAGGCATACAGCTCAAAGACAATGCACTATCAAAGTAATGAGGGCTAGTGGTAAGCATCTACATCATTAGACCTCCTTTCCCAGTACCAAAATATAATAATAGGGGTTTTCCCCTTTTTTCTGGCAAAAAAACTGAAACGTTTTTACGAGGAAACATGTGTGCATTAACCACAATACTTGTGGTCAAAATGCAAACAAACAATACACTCGACACAGCCAACGAGAAAGGGTTGCATGTAAACAGAACATGCCAATTCATCACGAGTACAGCACACCGGTGTGTTGGAGAGCCAAGCCACAACATTTACAATCTGAGTACAACGTTTCGCCAGTAATTACAACTAGCTTCATCAGGCGGCAGCCAGATTTGTGGAGAAGTCCATCTGTTTCGTTCCTTATATAGAGGCGTAGATGTGGTGACCACACTTCTGCGCTCTTGTGGGGGGGGAGGGTTTCATGAGCCAACATACATTATGCATGTGCATTATTCGAGCCCTTTGATTTTGTCTTTCCTGTCCATTGTGTGTATAAAAATTTCCATACCAACGGTAATCCCTATTGAAGTATCGTACCCTGTATAGGCATATATTTAAACATATTCTTGGTTCTTTCGGTAAAGTCACGTAGATAGGAAAAATAAATAAATATAAGTATAAAATAAAAAAATATCTATTGACAATAATAAAAGCAAAAAATTCATTTAAACAATGTATTATTTGATTCGCTTCCACGCAGCACTAAGTCGGTAGCTATCCGAACGGTTACAATTATTTTTTTTTCTTTTAATTTCGATAGATTATCTAATTAGTCTTGGCCAGTAGTAGCTAGTTTTGCACAGAATTTCATAATTAACAAAATCAATTGAGTGTCCTTGTTGGCACGCGTGTTCTGCTACTGCTGACAGTTGTATTTGGGAGTATTTGATATTTTTGTGATGTTCTTTTAGTATCGTGCTGATCATTCATCCTGTTTGCCAAACATAACATATTCCACAAGTGCAGTTAATCCTGTACACGCCTTCTGTTGATCGCTTCGGTAATACATCTTTTGTACCAGATATTAATTTCTGTATTTTATGTACCATGCCAAATCTGACTCGGATGCTTTGTTTTTTCCAAACATCTGGCTAGTTTATCATTTACTCCTGCAATGTACGGTATTTTGATCGTTTTAATTACTTGGGCAGTTTCAATGCTTGTCTTATTTGATTTGGTTTTGGCATTCAATGCCCTGTTGATTTGTGCATCATTATTACCGTTATTTTGCAGCGCTTCTTTTACATGTTGAATTTCACTTCTCAGACTGTCACCATCTGACACTTTCTTAGCTCGATGAATGAGCATCTTGATAAGAGCAGATTTCTGCGCGGGGTGATGGTGTGACTGCATTCAAAAAGGCGTCAGTATGCGTTTTCTTTCGGTAAACGCTGTATGTTATTTTACTATTTCGACCCCGTCCGAGCAGAATATCCAGAAATGGTAGAGTTTTGTCAGCTTCCACTTCCATGGTGAACTGAATGAGATGATTTAAAAATCCGTTAAGTGTATCTTTACCGTGTGGCCAGAGCACCAATATGTCATTCACATATCTAAACCAAGCAGGAGGTTTTAGTGTGCTTGAAGCTATTGCTTTTATTTCAAAATCTTCCATGTGTAGTGAATCACTCGCAGACACTATCAGTAGGAGGCACTATATTTATTATAGCCTTCACAGGTACAAGCGGTAACTATGCTAGGGTAAGGACAGCTAACAGGCTGCCTGACCAACAACGCCGACAAGGTGAAGACGGTGACGAGGACTCCAGCAGCACGATGGTTCCACTCCAAACAACAGCCCCGAACCCTCGCTCAGGGTCTTTCCTTTATACACCCAGTAGGCTTTACCACATGTACCCCCTCTGCCCCCGTCCCTCTCTATGGCTCATGACATCCTGCTGGAAGACAGGGCTACTACACCTCCGATCCCCTTCTGTGACAGCAACCAGCGCTTTATGCCACAGTGACCCATTCCATGTCACTACACTTGTGTAATGTGAGGTTACACCTGGATGATAAATGGGTTACACCTGGATGATTAATTGGTTACACCTGGATGATAATGATTGACTCTCCCTGCCTCAGCCACAACCAATGGGGAGTCGAGCCAGGGGCCCGGCCCTGATGTAATGCGTCATTGGTATTGGAATAAAACATTAAAATGTTGAAAAAAATTACCTGCAAATGACCTCAATTGGGATCACACAGCAGCAGCATCGCCTCACTGCTGTGAAAACTTGGCAGGACTCTCCTCTTTCTTGAGACACTTCTCTCTCTCTCTCTGCTTCTTCCCCTCGCACTGCTCCACTTTGGAATTCCCTCCCAAAATCGTCTCTCTCCCCCATTAGCGTGGTTTGGCTACATGCGGTGCGAAAGTTAGTTCAACATACGTACGTGTATAACAATAAGAATAATTTACATTTATTTGTAAGGTGTCTTCCACTAATGTCTCAAGAAGTGTGTTACAACTCTCATCTAACACACAACTTTGACAGTGCTGTTTGTTGATGGCCGCTTGACGTTTTGTGACTCACGGGGTCTGCGCCCACCCAAAACCACCCCTGCCTGTGACTGAGCGGCGTGTTCAGCACGAGGAGGTGCAGAGGCTGCGAGAGGATAAGAGCCACCTGGAGACGCTGGTGAGCAAGATGAGGGTGCTGAGCTACTGGAGACAGAGCAGCCTGAGGAGGAGCCACTCCAAATCAACTGCAGAGCTACAGCAAGTGAGCAGTCGCCTCGCTGCACACCCCTCGCTCACTCGCACACAAAGACGCCCAGTATAGCCTATAACAGACTGATGGGGCAAGTGCTCTGAGCGAGCACCTATGAAGGCCCGGCAACGGCACACGAGGGGGTGGGCGGCCAGCATCACGCCTGGCCGCCTTTGTTTCCTTTGTGGTGATGTTTACACACTGGCACTTATTTTAGGCTAATTCGACCTAGGGGAGGCCCAGATAATCGTCACTGGTGTTGGCCGTGAGCGGGAATCGAACTCGGGTCACCGGTTTTGCAGCTCAGGCTTGAGCCGCACAGTGCCTCCCACGAGCAGCGCAGCCGTCTCTGAGTGCAGCTCGGCGCGTGGGAGTCGTGAGCGCGGCTGCGGGTCCACGGTGTCTATGCTGCTGAAATGTAACTGCCTGTGATCCGGCACGATGGAGACAGCGGCGGCGAGGGTTGCTAGATCACACGCAGATGTTGCGAAACTCCCTTCCCCATGCACTGCGATGAGCGCGGTTTGGCTACATACGATGTGAAAGAAGTTCAACGTAGATACATTGCCCCATGGGCGTTGGCGAGGTGTCTGTACCCTGGTTCGCCAGGAGAAGGCAGTAGAGGAAAAATTTGGACTCCACCTGTTCTGTCTGTATGGAATAGAGCGTTGGCCCCTTGCATGCTTGGGTTTTCTCCAGGTGCTCCTTTTTCTTCTCGCATGTAAACCACTTATTAATTGGCTGATAACACCTTCATATACAGAGGACCGCAAAGCTTGGGCAATTACTGGCGCTGGCTCATCGTGAGCCGTGTGACCAGGAGTACAGGCCAAAGTCCATGGACTAAGACCAAATATGTAACTTGTCGGAACCACCTGAGATGGCAACATAGTAACATTGTCTCATAGGCGCGCGATCACACAGTCCACTTGCATTCGCCATGTATGGGACACTGCTCTCACTGAATGCCCCAAGCACTACCGAACTTTTGGCTCTGGGGCCAGCAGCCACGGTCCGTCCTGCACACAGCACTGCTCTCGCCCTTTCTTTCCCAAAGCAGGTGAACGTCCTTTCTTATCCCCCCCCCCCTGCTCCTACCCAGCCATACTCCCTCACTCATCCACACACAGCTCTTACCAAAGTCAAAGACAAAAATCACCCATAAAGCATGAACAGATTGCTGGGGCAAGTGCTGTTCGCGACCGCCTATGAAGGCTGGCACAGCACGCGAAGGGGGTGGGTGGCCAACGCCACGCCCGGCAGCCTTTGTCTCCCTAGTGGCGATGTTTACACACTACACTAGGTACTCATTTGACGCCGAGTCTACCTAGGGGAGGCCCAGGACCGGTTCAGAAAATTGTCACCGATGTTGGCCGTGAGCTGGAATCAAACTCGAGTCGCCGGGTGTGTAACGCAGCGTGCTAACCGCTACCCTCCTACTCTCCTCCGCCTCCAGCCACACTCCCTCACTCATCCACACACAGCTCTTACCTCCACCGCAGTCACACACACTCACTGGTGAATTTCGCCACACGCTCGCACTTCTCTCACTTCTCTCACCACAGCGGCTCCGTGTGCTCGCTAAACATTACTCATCATCCCACTCGGCGTTCTGGTCCTTTGACGACCTCTTGTGCTCAGCAACTGTCTTGTTAATAAAAACGAAAACCAAAGAGCTGTGAATGTTTCAGAGCACATCGCACGACCAGCAAGCCACGCGGCTCACTCGTGAGCCACGTGGTCTCACTCGCGAGCCACGTGGTCTCACTCGCGAGCCACACGGTCTCACTCGCGAGCCACGTGGTCTCACTCGTGAGCCACGTGGTCTGACTTGCGAGCCACACGGTCTCACTCGCGAGCCACGTGGTCTCACTCGCGAGCCACACGGTCTCACTCGCGAGCCACACGGTCTCACTCGCGAGCCACGTGGTCTCACTCGCGAGCCACATGGTCTGACTCGCGAGCCACACGGTCTCACTCGCGAGCCACGTGGTCTCACTCGTGAGCCACACGGTCTCACTCGTGAGCCACGTGGTCTCACTCGCGAGCCACACGGTCTCACTCGCGAGCCACGTGGTCTCACTCGCGAGCCACATGGTCTGACTCGCGAGCCACACGGTCTCACTCGCGAGCCACGTGGTCTCACTCGTGAGCCACACGGTCTCACTCGTGAGCCACGTGGTCTCACTCGCGAGCCACACGGTCTCACTCGCGAGCCACGTGGTCTCACTCGCGAGCCACATGGTCTGACTCGCGAGCCACACGGTCTCACTCGCGAGCCACGTGGTCTCACTCGTGAGCCACACGGTCTCACTCGTGAGCCACACGGTCTCACTCGTGAGCCACGTGGTCTCACTCGCGAGCCACGTGGTCTCACTCGCGAGCCACACGGTCTCACTCGCGAGCCACGTGGTCTCACTCGTGAGCCACGTGGTCTGACTTGCGAGCCACACGGTCTCACTCGCGAGCCACGTGGTCTCACTCGCGAGCCACACGGTCTCACTCGCGAGCCACACGGTCTCACTCGCGAGCCACGTGGTCTCACTCGCGAGCCACATGGTCTGACTCGCGAGCCACACGGTCTCACTCGCGAGCCACGTGGTCTCACTCGTGAGCCACACGGTCTCACTCGTGAGCCACGTGGTCTCACTCGCGAGCCACACGGTCTCACTCGCGAGCCACGTGGTCTCACTCGCGAGCCACATGGTCTGACTCGCGAGCCACACGGTCTCACTCGCGAGCCACGTGGTCTCACTCGTGAGCCACACGGTCTCACTCGTGAGCCACACGGTCTCACTCGTGAGCCACGTGGTCTCACTCGCGAGCCACGTGGTCTCACTCGCGAGCCACACGGTCTCACTCGTGAGCCACGTGGTCTGACTTGTGAGCCACACGGTCTGACTCGCGAGCCACACGGTCTCACTCGCGAGCCACACGGTCTCACTCGCGAGCCACGTGGTCTCACTCGCGAGCCACATGGTCTGACTCGCGAGCCACACGGTCTCACTCGCGAGCCACGTGGTCTCACTCGTGAGCCACACGGTCTCACTCGTGAGCCACGTGGTCTCACTCGCGAGCCACACGGTCTCACTCGCGAGCCACGTGGTCTCACTCGCGAGCCACATGGTCTGACTCGCGAGCCACACGGTCTCACTCGCGAGCCACGTGGTCTCACTCGTGAGCCACACGGTCTCACTCGTGAGCCACACGGTCTCACTCGTGAGCCACGTGGTCTCACTCGCGAGCCACGTGGTCTCACTCGCGAGCCACACGGTCTCACTCGCGAGCCACGTGGTCTCACTCGTGAGCCACGTGGTCTGACTTGCGAGCCACACGGTCTCACTCGCGAGCCACGTGGTCTCACTCGCGAGCCACACGGTCTCACTCGCGAGCCACACGGTCTCACTCGCGAGCCACGTGGTCTCACTCGCGAGCCACATGGTCTGACTCGCGAGCCACACGGTCTCACTCGCGAGCCACGTGGTCTCACTCGTGAGCCACACGGTCTCACTCGTGAGCCACGTGGTCTCACTCGCGAGCCACACGGTCTCACTCGCGAGCCACGTGGTCTCACTCGCGAGCCACATGGTCTGACTCGCGAGCCACACGGTCTCACTCGCGAGCCACGTGGTCTCACTCGTGAGCCACACGGTCTCACTCGTGAGCCACACGGTCTCACTCGTGAGCCACGTGGTCTCACTCGCGAGCCACGTGGTCTCACTCGCGAGCCACACGGTCTCACTCGTGAGCCACGTGGTCTGACTTGTGAGCCACACGGTCTGACTCGCGAGCCACACGGTCTCACTCGCGAGCCACACGGTCTCACTCGCGAGCCACGTGGTCTCACTCGCGAGCCACATGGTCTCACTCGTGATCCACGCGGTCTGACTCGCGAGCCACACGGTCTCACTCGTGAGCCACGTGGTCTCACTCGCGAGCCACGTGGTCTCACTCGCGAGCCACACGGTCTCACTCGTGAGCCACGTGGTCTGACTTGTGAGCCACACGGTCTGACTCGCGAGCCACACGGTCTCACTCGCGAGCCACACGGTCTCACTCGCGAGCCACGTGGTCTCACTCGCGAGCCACATGGTCTGACTCGCGAGCCACACGGTCTCACTCGCGAGCCACGTGGTCTCACTCGTGAGCCACACGGTCTCACTCGTGAGCCACACGGTCTCACTCGTGAGCCACGTGGTCTCACTCGCGAGCCACGTGGTCTCACTCGCGAGCCACACGGTCTCACTCGTGAGCCACGTGGTCTGACTTGTGAGCCACACGGTCTGACTCGCGAGCCACACGGTCTCACTCGCGAGCCACACGGTCTCACTCGCGAGCCACGTGGTCTCACTCGCGAGCCACATGGTCTCACTCGTGATCCACGCGGTCTGACTCGCGAGCCACACGGTCTCACTCGTGAGCCACGTGGTCTGACTTGTGAGCCACACGGTCTGACTCGCGAGCCACGTGGTCTCACTCGCGAGCCACACGGTCTCACTCGCGAGCCACATGGTCTCACTCGTGATCCACGCGGTCTGACTCGCGAGCCACACGGTCTGACTCGCGAGCCACACGGTCTCACTCGTGAGCCACACGGTCTCACTCGTGAGCCACGTGGTCTGACTTGTGAGCCACACGGTCTGACTCGCGAGCCACACGGTCTCACTCGCGAGCCACACGGTCTCACTCGCGAGCCACACGGTCTCACTCGCGAGCCACGTGGTCTCACTCGCGAGCCACACGGTCTCACTCGTGAGCCACGTGGTCTGACTCGCGAGCCACACGGTCTCACTCGCGAGCCACGTGGTCTCACTCGTGAGCCACACGGTCTCACTCGTGAGCCACGTGGTCTCACTCGCGAGCCACACGGTCTCACTCGCGAGCCACGTGGTCTCACTCGCGAGCCACATGGTCTGACTCGCGAGCCACACGGTCTCACTCGCGAGCCACGTGGTCTCACTCGTGAGCCACACGGTCTCACTCGTGAGCCACACGGTCTCACTCGTGAGCCACGTGGTCTCACTCGCGAGCCACGTGGTCTCACTCGCGAGCCACACGGTCTCACTCGTGAGCCACGTGGTCTGACTTGTGAGCCACACGGTCTGACTCGCGAGCCACACGGTCTCACTCGCGAGCCACACGGTCTCACTCGCGAGCCACGTGGTCTCACTCGCGAGCCACATGGTCTCACTCGTGATCCACGCGGTCTGACTCGCGAGCCACACGGTCTCACTCGTGAGCCACGTGGTCTGACTTGTGAGCCACACGGTCTGACTCGCGAGCCACGTGGTCTCACTCGCGAGCCACACGGTCTCACTCGCGAGCCACATGGTCTCACTCGTGATCCACGTGGTCTGACTCGTGAGCCACATGGTCTCACTCGTGATCCACGTGGTCTGGCTCGCGAGCCACACGGTCTGACTCGCGAGCCACACGGTCTCACTCGTGAGCCACACGGTCTCACTCGTGAGCCACGTGGTCTGACTTGTGAGCCACACGGTCTGACTCGCGAGCCACACGGTCTCACTCGCGAGCCACACGGTCTCACTCGCGAGCCACACGGTCTCACTCGCGAGCCACGTGGTCTCACTCGCGAGCCACACGGTCTCACTCGTGAGCCACGTGGTCTGACTCGCGAGCCACACGGTCTCACTCGTGAGCCACGTGGTCTCACTCGCGAGCCACACGGTCTCACTCGCGAGCCACGCGGTCTCACTCGCGAGTCGCAGAAAATCGCTCCCCACAGACAGTTTCGGTTAAAATTGTGCCGATGCGGCAGACTTTGCACACATTTGGACTGCATTCGCCCCATATTTGGGGAGATTTTGCCTTTCTGCCAACACTGAATTCGGGGCCATAAATTGTTTAATCGATGCAGTTGCGAACTCCGGTTTGACGCCGGTGGTGTGGGAGGAGAGGCGATGCAGTGGTTAGCGCACTGCCCATCAAACCCAGCAACTCGAGTTCGATGCCCAACCACGACAAATAACAGTGACAGCGAATATTCAAACAGTTCTTGGACACCCCTAGGTCGACTCGGCCTGAAATGCGTACCTTGTGCAGTGCGCGATGTAAATGAGTACCTGGTGCTGGCCACGCACCCCCCTCGTGTGCCGTGTTGGTCAACATCGGTGCTACTCACGAGCAGCACTTGCCCCGATGGTCTTTTAAGGCGACATAGGGGATCTTTGTCTTTGGTGGGGGGGGGGGGAGTCGCTGGAGGGGAGTTCGCGACGCCATCCATGGGGGTGGCTCACACTTGCTTGGGGTGAACTCTCCTCCAATTCGCCCCATTGTTGTATCGCTCTACGATAAACACTGCATGGTTTTTCTGTTAATTTTTTTTGTCTCCCCCCAAACCCCACCTCCCCAACTCCACCTCCCCAGCAGTGGGGTAACCGAGCAGCACGTCGAGTGCGTTCCCTCCGAGCTCGTTCCCTCCGAGCTTGTTCCCTTCGAGCTCGTTCCCTCCGTGCCCATTCGCTCCGAGCGGCCGCGCTCGAAGTCTGAACGGGCCCTCCTCACGGCATCCTCCGCAGCTCTTGACTTCTCGCCACATCAAACTGTGCTCGGGTCGAACATTACGAGAGCGTGCGCCGTGTTTGGAAGCATTCCTTTAAACTAGTCAGTCAACGCACGGTTTGGACCCTTTTTTGCCAGCATTCGATCAATATTAAAGGGATAACATATAAAGTGTTTTACCCTTTCTGGCATAACTACAGGTGTTACAAATTACGTCTGTCACAAGGCATCAAGTATGCATTAACCACGCATACTTGTGGCAAAACATGCCAACAAAATATGCTTTGATGATGAATGCGCATGCCCTTGAAACTGTTTGGCCTACATCAGATAATATTGACATCACTCACGAGTCACTTCGAGTAGAAAACCAAGGAGAAAACAAGAATACTCTTGCAGCACGGATCGTTGTTGCAAGAGAGGCCAACAGATGGACTCCGCAAACAGGGATGGAATTATGGCCGAGGGAGGGAATGCTTCCGGGCTCTCGGCTCACGCTGGGGGACATTAAGAAGAAGCCTCTCGCCAGTCCTGGCTTGGAGCCAATTTCGCTTCACTTCACATTCACACATCTGTGGGGTGGGGGGAAGTACCCCATTGAATGGTCAATGCTGTGCCTCCTATGCTGCCAGACGCCTGCTATCGTCTACACTTGGCTTGTGTGACTGTCTAAAGCTGGTTTCATTTCTCTGTGGCTGGTGCTGTGTGAACAGTGCTGTGCTTGTGTTGTGTGGTCGGTGCTCTAGGCAGTGCTGTGCTTGTGTGGCTCGTGACGTGTAAGCTGTGTGAGCTGTGTGGTGGTTGTGTGGCTGGTGTTGTGGCTAGTGGTGTGCGGTGCTGTGTGAGCGGTCCTGTGTGGTGGTTGTGTGGCTGGTGGTGTGGCTAGTGGTGTGCGGTGCTGTGTGAGCGGTCCTGTGTGGTGGTTGTGTGGCTGGTGGTGTGCGGTGCTGTGTGAGCTGTGTGGTGGTTGTGTGGCTGGTGGTGTGCGGTGCTGTGTGAACTGTGTGGTGGTTGTGTGGCTGGTGTTGTGGCTAGTGGTGTGCGGTGCTGTGTGAGCGGTCCTGTGTGGTGGTTGTGTGGCTGGTGTTGTGGCTAGTGGTGTGCGGTGCTGTGTGAGCGGTCCTGTGTGGTGGTTGTGTGGCTGGTGGTGTGCGGTGCTGTGTGAGCTGTGTGGTGGTTGTGTGGTGGTTGTGTGGCTGGTGGTGTGCGGTGCTGTGTGAACTGTGTGGTGGTTGTGTGAGCTGTGTGGTGGTTGTGTGGCTGGTGGTGTGCGGTGCTGTGTTGTGGTTGTCTGGTGGTTGTGTGACTGGTGGTTGTGTGAGCTGTGTGGTGGTTGTGTGGCTGGTGGTGTGCGGCGCTGTGTGAGCTGTGTGGTGGTTGTGCGGTGGTTGTGTGGCTGGTGGTGTGCGGTGCTGTGTTGTGGTTGTGTGGTGGTTGTGTGACTGGTGGTTGTGTGAGCTGTGTGGTGGTTGTGTGGCTGGTGGTGTGCGGTGCTGTGTGGTGGTTGTGCAGTGGTTGTGTGGCTGGTGGTGTGCGGTGCTGTGTGGTGGTTGTGTGGTGGTTGTGTGGCTGGCTGCTGTGTGGTGGTTGTGTGATCGGTGCTGTGTGAGCTGTGTGAACTGTGTGGTGGTTGTGTGGCTGGTGGTGTGTGAGCTGTGTGGTGGTTGTGTGGTGGTTGTGTGGCTGGTGGTGTGCGGTGCTGTGTGAGCTGTGTGGTGGTTGTGTGGCTGGTGGTGTGTGGGTTCCGTAGGATTGGAAGGATGCCCTGGTGGTCCTCCTCTTTAAGAAGGGGGACCGCACAGACTGTAACAACTACAGGGGCATCTCCCTCCTCAGTGTGCCGGGAAAGATCCTGGCAGGCAGGCTGAGGGGTGGCTTGCGGAGCGCCAATGTGGTTTCAGGAAAGGGCGGTCCTGCACAGATGCCATATTTTCTGTCCATCTGTTACAGCAGAGGCGTAGGGAATTCCCACAGAACCTACATCTCTGCTTTATTGACCTGGTCAAGGCCTATGATACTATCAGTAGGCCTGGGCTCTGGGTTGTTCTCCGTGCTTTCGGAGTCCCTGACTCTCTGCTCACAATCATTAAGGACCTTCATGATGGTGAGCAGGCCCGGGTAAAACTACATGGCTGGGAGTCGGAGTCATTCTCTGTTCACCTTGACCACGTAGTTCGTGAAGCCTTTGATGGCTGTACTGGAGGAATTTCTATCTAGTCCAGATGCAATGGGAGGCTAATCGATGCCCGGGTGCACTCAAGGGATGTCTTTCTATTGGTCAACCATGTTATGTATACCGGTGATCTGGTGATTGCCGCTCATTCAGAGGAGTAGTTGGAGGTGCTGCTGCTGAACCGAAAGCGTGCCACTAAGAGGTAGAGCTTACCATCATACCCACCAAAACTAAGCACCTGCCTGGGTATTTTATACCATCAGATACTCCACCCCCACAACTCCCAATTGGTAATGGGGCAGTTGTGGAGACAGTGGCGAGTATTACCAGCTCTGGTTTGACAGCAGAGGTCTCACTCTGAATCAGTCGAGCGGCATTATCTTTTCATCGGCTGCGTAACACTGTTTTGAAGCTACCTGGTCTCTTGCTGCACACGAAGCTTCAGGTCTTCTTGGCCACGGTCATGCCCTCCCTTCTCTATGCTTGTGAAACGTGGACCCCCCTAATGGAACATCTTCACCAGTGAGAAACATTTAGGCTGGCCTGCCTATATTCCATCCTGGGTTTAACCAGCGTGGATTGTGTGAGGAGCACACATCCTTGAAAGATCTGGACAAAGTCCTATCGGTGAGCTCCTTCGGCAGGCAAGGCTGTGTTGGCTGGGTCAAGTAGCCGGAATGGCCAGCCACCGCATGGCTAACCAGCTGTTGTTCGGCCGGATAGAAGGGGCTAAATGGGCGCGGCACAGGCTAGAGATGGAGTTATGTGGTACAGGAGGACGTGGAGCTCAGTGGACTTGGGGATAACTGGTACCAGCGGTGTCAATATCGGTCTCTGTGGAGGAGGCTCGTGAAGGACGCTTCTGGGCAGTTGGAGGCAGTCGCCCTCCAGCAAGAAGGGCAGAGAAGCGACGCTCACAACAACGAGCAGAACACCGAGTGGCTAAAACACAGCAAGTTGGCACAGTAGGGGGCACAGGTGGTGCTTAGGCCAGTCATCTCAGTTAGTCGACCCATGGCACCTGGATCTGTGCCGTGACCTCCTGCCAGTGGGCGTTCGACACTTCACGTAGCCTTAACGTGCACATAGCCTGGCACAAGTGCCATGGTGACATCACTATCACTTAGTGGCGAATGGCGGTTGTTGTTTTTGTTGTGCGGTGTTGTGTGAGCTGTGCGGTGGTTGTGTGGTCGGTGTTACGCATGTGGCCGTGTTACGTGCAGGCCCTGGCGCGTCTACGCTCGGAGCAAGCATGTGTGCGGGCCGAGGCCGGCGCCGAGACGACGTCACTGCGTGCCCGCACTCAGGCCCTCCAGCAGGCTTTGACCTGGGCCCAGGCCGAAGGGCAGGAAGCTCGTGCACAGCTCCAGCACGAGGTGCAGCCCCAGTCACATCAAGTGGTCGCAACCGCTACAAATCTCACCATCGCTTCCTTCCATCTGCCATATCCCACGCCTGTTCCCGAGCTGGCATCCAACCTTTGAGGTCTCCTCTTACAGTCTCATCACCCTCCTCTTGGCTTGGGCTTCTCCCCATGGTCACTGATCCACACACGCATACCCCATCCACTGACCCACACACCCATTCCCCACCCACTGACCCACACACCCATTCCCCACCCACCGACCCACACACTCATTTCCCACCCACCGACCCACACACGCATTCCCCACCCTTTGCAGCAGTCTCATCCTAATGTTCACCTCCAACATGCTCCCGCCACCTTAAATCCTTGGGACACACATCCACCACTAGCTGCAGCAGCTCCAGAAGTTGCTCACGTGCTTTAATGTTATACATTGGCCAAGAATAAAACTCAGGTGACTGGGTTCATAGGAGTGCCTAGTGCTTACCACTGGGCCATTGCTCCACCCACCCCTATATGTAGCTTTGTTTATTGAATCGGTGTGACTCTGATGCTGGGCCAGTCGCTGCCCCTTCCGTAAGACGACAGCGTTGAGTAAAATCCCACGTTGCGTGTCCGTGTCGTCTGTGTCATCCATGTCATCCGTGTCTGGGTCGTTCGTGTCCGTGTCATCCGTGCCGCTCGCCGTGTCCGTGCCGCGCATCCGCAGCGCGAGCAGCAGCTGGAAAAGTCGCATCGCGAGCAGCAGGAGCGGCAGGTGTGGCGCGCGCGTGAGGAGGCCCACGCAAGCTCGGCGGCGTGGTTCTCCTTGCAGCTGTCGCAGAACGAGCGGCAGCTGGGCACCCTGTCGGTGGAGCTGCAGAAGAGCGAGCGTGTGGCCCAGCTCCAGCACAAGCGGCTGGGTGTGGAGAGCAGACAGGTGCTCACCTTCATAATCAACTTTTTGGGTTTAGATCGCGTTGCTCACCTGCGTCGCTCACCTGCGTCGCTTACCGACGTCGCTCACCTACGTCACTCACCTACATCGCTCACCTAAGTCACTCACCTACATAACTCACCGACGTCACTCACCTACATCACTAACAGGGCAGACAGGTGCTCACCCACATTACCTACATCACTCACCTCCATTACCCAATGCCCAAATACAAGCCCTGGGGTAACTTCCATGAATTCTACATCAAAACCCATCGATAATGGGTTTAAATCGATTGGATTAACAATGCCAATTGTATAACACAAGGTTAAGGGTCACCAGGGCACACGTTCTGTGCAATTAGCGGTCAAAGCCAGGACAAAATTGTAAATGAGGTTTAGCAGTCTTGAGTGACGTTTGAATGGAATGCACAGTTTAGGTGTCGTGTAAACTCCCCCCCCCCCTCACCACCTCCAACAGCCTGCGCTGACCACGGTGGGGAAGCAGGGTCCCACACGGCCCTCGAGGTGCGGCAATGGCCCTCATTCCAGGGTCCAAAATTTACCAAATTTGAAAATGACCCGCAAAGTACTTGGTTGGGATTACACAGCAGAGGCGGCAATCATTGCCTGCCTGCTGTCAGAAGGAATGCCCGTTTTTCAAGCTGGGTTGCCGAGTCGCCTTGTGGCCACACAGGGACAGCTGCCACCGGGGGTGCCCTTTCCAACGTGTTGAGATGAGGTGAGAAATGCAAAGCGTTGCGAGACGCCCCGGCGAATAGGAGGGGCGCTATATCAAAAACCAATCGCTAATGTCCATGTACGTGCGTACGTTGAACTTCTTTCGCGCTATACATAGCCAACCGTTCTAATTGGAGGCACGGTTATTAGCCAGCAGTGGGTTGCCAAAAGTGCTGCACGTGTACGATGAGTGTGTCGCGGTGCTGAGCTCTCGGTGGCACCTGCAGATGCGCAGCCGGCTGGAGCAAGAGCGCGGACTCAAGCTGGATGCGTTCCAGCTCGTGGAGGAGCTGCAGGGGCAGCTCAACGGCTCCCAGCCCCTCTCACTCTCTGCAGGTGCTGGTCCACAGCGCGCACCGCGGGGGGACATGTCGCACACCGTGTACACGCCACGCACCGTGTACACGCCACGCACCGTGTACACGCCACGCACCGTGTACACGCAACGCACCGTGTACACGCCATGCACCGTGTACACGCCACGCACCGTGTACATGCCACGTACCGTGTACTCGCCACGCACCGTGTACTCGCCACGCACCGTGTACATGCCACGTACCGTGTACTCGCCACGCACCGTGTACTCGCCACGCACCGTGTATATGCACCATGTACACGCCACACACCGTGTACATGCCACGTGCCACGCACCGTGTACATGCCACGTACCGTGTACTCGCCACGCACCGTGTACACGCACCATGTACACGCTACGCACTGTGTACATGCCACATGCCATGCACACCGTGTACACGCCACGTGCACACATCGCACACACCGAGCAGGGAGCGTCCAACAGTTACATGCACGCACTCCACATGCACATACACCGGAGTGTCATCGTGGTGATCCACTCTGCTGGTGCTTGGAGTGTTGATGGACAATACCAAGCTCGGTCACTTTAAAGCACGAACCACAGTGAATCACTTGGAACACTTTTTGTCAATGATGAGAAACTAATTAGACAAAAAAGTTAATGCAGGATTGGAAACAAATGCTCGTAATAATAATAGTAATGCACACACGAGGTGCATTATATAGGTGCAATTGTGATCATAGTTTCATCCCATTTTCCAAACCTGTACAATAACACGATCCCACGCCTTGTGGAGAACTCTTTTCTATGGCACTAATCCCACACGCCAGCTGTGCCGGTACGGTGGTGGAGGTATTGTGTTGTGCGTTGTCGACGTTTGTGCGGAAACAACTGCCGCCAAATACCATGCCATGCCAGCTGTCGTTCAGAGCCGTCGGGCTAACAAATTCAACGCCAAAACAGTTTATTTAACAATAACACCTCCTCTGTGTTAGCTACTAAGATTTCGCGGGTTCCATGCCTTGTTTTGCAGCCTCACGCAGTCGATCTGCATTGTCACAGCTACAGGGCCACAGCAGGAGCAGCAGCAGCAGCAGGCGTAAGTGATGGTCCCTCACGAGAAACGATTCCAAGCGTCACAGTGGCACAGAATGCGCGCACACCGCGGGTAACAAACAGCGTTGCTGCCACCTGTCCGGGTGTGACCCGGACAGTCCTGGAACTGGCATCTGTGTTGGTGGGGCAACATTATTTTAGAACTGTTTAGTTTGTTGTCGTTCCCCCGCATCTCCGATTAGCACGGTTGGCTATGTAGGATGCGAAAGACGTTCAACGTATATACATACGTCCAACAGGAATCGATTTTTACTGAAACCTGGTCGCGGTATTGTTGTGATGACCTTTATTGCAGTAAACCACGTTTCTCATAGCAGACCTCGGGCTGACTGACAAAATATGCTCGGGGTTAAACATGTGTAGGGGTGTTAAAGTGAGGGCCCGTTATGTATGGCAGTCTATGGGAAAGAAACACAGTGGGCGGGGCTACGTGTGTGCACAGGGAGATGCCCTCTGCGACGTCCGAGCCAGACACCCTGGGGGGGGCTGGTTTGGCGTTATGATCCCCCGGGGCCCCACCCCTCAAGGAGGGTTGGGTATAAAAGGGGACGTTATAGGGGCTCGAGGGAGTTATGTTATAGTTAACTAAGAAGACTGAAGACGTCTTAGATAGAGCCCTGGACTCCCCTCGTTCGATGTCCTTATCAGGGCCGAACAGGACTGAGCCAGCGGCGTGGTCCCGAAAGCCAGAGCCGGTGCTCTTCTAAGAGCTGGTCTGGGACTCCGGGTACCGGCCCGACTTACCAGTGTCGGGCCAAGTAGCCTCCCCTAGCCCAGTAGTGGAGGACTGTGAGGCAGGCTAGGACTTAGCTAGGAAGTGTATCCTTAGCTAGTCGGGTGAGGGGGCCGATACCCCCTCCAGTGCTGTATGTCACATACGAGCTGTGTTGAATAAATATCCGTGTGCCTCCACCTCGGCGTCAAGTGTCTTCACCGGTACTTCAACTGGTGTCAGAAGTAAAACTCGAACATGGACACACGGAAGACAGCGCGGACCAAAGTACCGAAAGAGGAAGATACTGCCGAGATCGTCGAGCCCGAGACGGCTACACAAGCCATGGTGCAGCCGGGGCCTGATGTCTCCTTACCGGGGCATCTGAGTCAAGAAGGACCACAGTCAGACGCGTTGCGGCTGGCTCACGGGAGGCTGGCGGAGCTGTTATATGCCGCTGCCGCCACGCTGGAGACCATCACGCGGCTGGGGGCCGGTGATTCAGCACGGGGCGAGGCGGGCCAACGACCAGGGCGCCTTCCCGCCATTTCGGAGCAGCCCGAGTTTGAATCTCCCGCCATCGACGCTGCAGCTGTTCGGGGCGTGGCCAGCCTACACATCCACTCCGGCATCGCCGTCGCTGAAGCCGCGACGTCATCACCACCGCGACAGGCGATCCCATCGGCCGCTCGTACCGACGCACAGCCGAGTGGAGGTGACATCCGCCCGCGGGAATCAACAACGACCGCTGCACTCCATCAGAGGCTGCCCTTGCTGAAAGAGTTCGTCGGCGCGGAGGGGGACTGGGCCGGGTTCCGCAGGCGATTCCTCGCCCATCAAGAGATGGCGAGGTGGACAGACGAGGAGGCTCTCTGCGCGCTGCCGGCGCTCCTCGACAGCGACGCGCTCGCAGCCCTCACATCGGCACCTAAAGAGAGGCGGGCGACGTTACCGATGGCGCTGCAGCTGCTGGGAGGGGTCTACGGACCATCGGCGGAATGCAGACAGGAGTTCTACGACCGCAAGCGGGGTGAAAAGGAGTCGCCCCTGGCGTACCGAACGAGCCTCCTGGCGATGGCCAAGTCGGCCTTCCCCCGTATGGATGACGACGGCATCGACGCTATGGTGACGGAGAAAATACTCCTCCTGGCTGACGACCTTGACATCGCTGTGGTCGCGCAGGAGGATGCAGAGATGACGTCGCTCCAGGCGGCAAGGCTCCTCCACGCCAACCTCCTGTCGCTCCGACGAAAAGCCAGCAGGGCGTCGGCGGGGCGTGCGGTGGCTGCAGCCACCCTTCCGACGGAGGAACTCTACGCCGTCGACCACCGACGGCAACAGGCGACGAGTGCACGGCCGGGCCAGGACGGGTCGGGCCGTTCCGACCATTCGTCACCTCCGATGCCGCTCCCACGGTGTTTTAACTGCGGCGTCCGGGGCCACGTCGCCTCGGGGTGCCGCTCTCCTCGTCAGCGCGGGACGACACCTCACCGGGACGACGGGCCTCATCCCAAGCTCCACCATCAAAAACCGGCGAGTCGCGGCACCCCACACGTTTGGCCCACACACACACCCGTCACGCACTCAAACACCGCAACGAGAGGGGGGCCGGTATCACGCACCATCGCACCATCACGCACCACTCCGGGTACCCATATCGAACCCGGCCAGTGGTCCGTGCTGGCCGATCGTGTGGTAGCCGCATCGTCGGGGTCGTCGGCCGTTGTGGGGTATATCGACGGGGTTGAAGTGCGCATCCTGGTCGATACGGGAGCATCGGCGACTATTATTTCGGAATTGATTTATAATATTCTCCCTGTCCGGAGTCGTCCCTTGATGCCTGTTGACATACCATTCTATGCGGCTAACGGGGGCTCACTTGGCATCATCGGACAAATTCGTGCCCAAATTTGTATCGGGGAAATAAAATTGTCTGGGCCGATTTTTGTTTCTTCCTCGCTGGCGGTTCCGTGCCTGCTGGGGACGGACTTCCTGGCCAAAATGCCGATTGTAATTTTGATCGACCAGGGTTGTATAGAGCTTCCGTCGGGCAGATGCATGGCGTTTCTGCCATCACCGGTTGCGACTCGGACGGCGTTCGCGACGGTGCCGGCGTTCGTGGAGAGAACGGTACGCGTCCCTCCGGGGACGCAAATGTTGGTACCCTTGAAACTTCGGCGGCCCCTCGTTAAGGGTACTGGGGCCCAAGGGGTACTGTTGGGGCCGTCTAGGGCCGGGGTTAGTGGACCTGACTTACTTCCGGCCCAGACCATAGTGAGAGGGGATGGTGAACCCTTCATCGCGGTCCTAAATGTGGGCTCGCGGACGGTGGTGGTCCCACAGGGGACCGTGCTTGCTCACGCAACGCCGGTGCCGTGTGAGGAACCCGCCGTAAATCGCGTCAACACTGTCCCTGCGTCGCGACCGCATTCGGACAGCGATGAAGGGTGGCTCGAGGCGCTTTGTGCGGGATCGACGGACCTGTCCGATTCAGAGCGTCAACAACTTAAAACACTACTGCGAGAATTTTCCGACGTTTTTAGTCGAAATAAATATGATTTGGGTTGTACTCACTTGCTGCGTCACCATATTGACACGGGTGACAGCGCGCCAATTCGCCAAAATCCGTTTCAGTTGAGTCCCGCCGAAAAGGACCATGTCAAATCGGCTGTTGATGACATGTTGGCCGCAGACATCATTTCTCCTTCCACCAGCCCTTGGGGAGCGCCGATCGTCCTGGTTAAAAAGCAGGACGGTTCGTTGCGGTTTTGCGTTGACTTCCGGCGTCTTAACAAAATTTCGGTTGCCGACGCATACCCGCTCCCTCGGATGGATGAATCGCTTGACGCCTTGGCGGGAGCGCGATTCTTTTCCACACTCGATTTACTTTCGGGATTCTGGCAGCTTCCTCTGGACGATGAGTCAAAGCCTAAAACTGCTTTCCGTACACCGCACGGCTTGTTTCAATTCAACCGGTTGCCGATGGGCTTACACTCAGCGCCGGCAACTTTCCAGCGTTTAATGGAATTGGTTTTGGCTGGACTGCAATGGGAGTCGTGCCTCATTTATTTGGATGACATTATCGTCTTTGGTAAAACTTTTGATGAACATCTCCAGAGGTTGCGGGCGGTTTTCCTAAAGATGCGGGCTGCTAATTTGAAATTCAAGCCCCAAAAATGCCATTTGTTGCGTGATTCGGTGCGTTATTTGGGGCACATCGTGGGACGCTCAGGTATTGCTACCGATCCCGCCAAAACGCAGTGTGTCAGCTCCTGGCCGACTCCCACCTCGGTGGGAGAGGTCAGGAGTTTCATTGGGTTCGCGTCGTATTATCGACGGTTTGTTGCTGATTTTGCGACAATTGCTAAACCCCTGCACGCTTTAACATCTAAAGGGGTTCGGTTCCACTGGGGTCAAGAGGAGGAGGCTGCGTTCCGCTCCCTTCGGGACGCCCTGGTAAAAGCCCCTCCCTTGATTTACCCTGATTTTTCGAAGCCCTTTTTGCTCGACACCGATGCGAGCAACACGGGTATTGGGGGTGTGCTTTCCCAGGTGGTTGATGGCATTGAACGGGTGGTCGCGTACGGTAGTCGGGTGTTGTCTCCTGCGGAGCAAAGATATTGTGTCACCCGTAGAGAACTGTTGGCAATTGTTTTTTTCATCCAACAGTATCGCCCATATCTGTACGGTCGGCATTTCACCGTCCGCACAGATCATGCGGCACTACAGTATGCCCTGCGAGTTCAACAACCATCGGGACAGTTGTCTCGATGGTTGGAGGTTCTCCAGGACTTTGATTTTGAAACCACCTACCGTAAGGGCGTTCGCCATACCAACGCGGACGCTCTGTCACGCATGCCAACCACCTCGGAATGTGCATGCCTCCTGGGGTCGGGACGTTGCAGACCTTCAGGGGACGCATCGGTTCCGATCCTGGCAGCCACCGACGACGACAAACCACTGCCTGATAATTCGATCGAACAACAGGGAAGAGATTCCCTGTTGGGGTTGCCCGTCACTGAGTGGGGGCGCCTCCAAATGGAGGATACCTCCCTCCTAGGGTGGCGTCGTCGCGTCGGGGGTGCTGGGCGGGTGAAAGGTGATTCAGGTGCATGGGAAATGGTGCAGGGTCTGCTCATGCATTGGGACGGCAAATCACAGCGACATCGGCTGGTCGTCCCTTCTGAGTTGCGAGGCAAGGTGGTGTGGGCCGCGCATGAGCGCCTGTTACACCTGGGGACCCTAAAGACCCTTGCACTGATACAACTGGA